TTGCCGGATGTGGGGTTGGGAGATCAGTTCGGTGAGGATATGCTTGCCCAGGAAGCCTGCGGCGCCGGTGACGAGGATGACGCAGCCGGTGGATTTAAGGGGATGTTGGGCGGAGGTAATGGAGCGAGAGAGTGCCGTCGAATCGGGTGGAAGTGCGGATTCGTGCTTCCAGTCGATTGCGTTGACTGTAGTGCTTTCTTCGATCAGTTTGGCCATGGCGCTGAGACTGCTGGCTTCGAGGAGGTCGACCAGCCGCACCGTCACGTTGAACAGGTGTCGGATGCGGGATTGTAGGCGGACGACGAGAAGGGAGTTTCCCCCGATGGTGAAGAAGCTGGTCGATGGGACAATCTGCAGGCCGAGTTCCTCCGTGTGGAGGACCTCTTCCCATACGCCGACGCAGTTGGAGCATTGTCTCGCTGAGGACATCCACTGCATCGGAGGACACGGTACGCCGCGGCAGAGGGAGTGCTTTGAGGGCCTTCCGGTCAACCTTGGAATGGTTACTCAACGGCATGCGATCCAGGGGAATGGCCATGACAGGAACCATGTACTGAGGGACGGGCAGATGCTGCAAAAGATGGTCGAGGAATGCCTCCGTGTCAGTGATGTTATGGTTCGGGGCAAAGACGACATGAGCCACCAGCAGAGGAGGGTCGCCATCGCGAAGAGTCACTACCGCTTCACGCAGAGCCCCGTCGGAGGTCTTCACGATGTTGCTTTCGATGTCACCGAGCTCAATGCGCAGTCCGCGGATCTTGACTTGTGCGTCTCCGGCGACTCGGCTGTGGAACACCATGGCTCCGTCAGCCTGCAAGTGCGCAATGTCGCCGGTCCGATACATCCGTGTCCAGCCCTGAGCGAGATACTCCGTGGTGGCATATGGATCTGGGTAGAAGTGATAGTCGGTCAGCTCGGGATTGTTCAGATACCCCAGCGACACTCCTGCACCACCAATCCACAGCTCTCCGGGCATGCCAACGGGCAGCGGCTTTTGCTGCTCATCCAGGATGTAAGCTGCATAGTTCGGCAGCGAATACCCACAGGGAATGCGACCTTCAGGCTGTTTCTCGCGGTACGCGATTTCCATCTTAGTGGATGAGATGGAGATTTCCGTGGGCCCATACGAGTTGAAGAAGCGCAGATGCGGCAGGCCCAGTGCCGCGAGTTGGTGCAGAAGCGCTGGGGTCAGCGATTCACCCCCTCCAAAGCCAAAGCGCCAGTTTGTTGCTTTGCGCAGGTTGGCGTTCCCATAGTCCAGCCACAAGGCGTATTCTGCTGGGGTGGCCTTGGTGTAAGTGATGCCTTCTTCTTGGATGATTTGGCTGACTTCAATCGGATCTCCCCGCTTGCTCCACGGTACGATGTACACAGTCCCACCGTTGGTCAGGCCCGTATAGATCTGATCCGAGGAATGGTTGAAGGTGAAGGCGCTTTGCTGTAGGGCACGTTCGGCGCGTAGGCCCCACTGGGTCGTGTAGCCCTCAATCTCGTTGCGCAGACCGGAATGTTTGACCACAATCCCCTTGGGTTTACCGGTTGATCCACTCGTGTACAAGATGGCGGCCACCGCATCACCGCGCGAGACATTGGGTACTCGTTTGTTGGGCTTCACACTGGCGTGCGAAACATTGACCACCTTAGCCTGGGTTACATTCACCTGGTCAATATCCTTGGCCGTGGTGTTGTCCACCAGGATGGCGGCTGGTTCGCAGTTGGCGGCGACATCAGCCAGACGCGGCAGAGGGTTTCGCAGATCCAGCGGAACATAGACGGCCCCCAGGCGCATGATGGCAAGCATTGAGCAGGGCCAGTCTGCTGTGGCATCTTCGAATACGAGGACCCGATGACCTTCTTGAACGCCCGACTTCTGCAGTTCCTCGGCGATGGCCTCGATGCGGTTAATCATGACGGCGTAGGTTAGTATCCGTCCGTGGCCATCCTTGAGAGCAATCCGGTCCCTGTTTGTAGCAGCAATCTGGTCAATGCGAAGGGGGAGGGTTTCCGGCCATGCTGATTTGAGATCCAGCCCTATCAATGATAGTTAGTGCCAGTTTTCGATACATTCGTAGTTTATGATATTGACTCACCGCGTCCAACATCCACTGCGCGTTTCCGTTGCTCGTCACTAAACAAAGACACATTTCCCAGATCCAAGGATGTGTTCTCAGCAAAGGTTTCCAAAAGATGGACATATGTATCAAGCAATAACTGGGTAGCCGTCGGATTATACAGTCCGGCCTGAGTCCGGAAGAGGATGAGCGCACTGTCAGAGCTATCCGTGATATCCAGAGTCATGTCATACGCCGTCCGTCCCGGATGAAGCTCCACCATTTCCAGTTCCGTGTTTCCAAACTGCTGCTTCTCCTGGTGGCCTTGGCGATAGTCAAAGAAGGCCTGGAAGAACGGGCTGTACGACGCCGAACGGGGCACGTTAAGCTCCTTCAGAAGCACATCGAACGGGACGCGGGAATGATGCAGCGCTTCGTAGGCCTTGTCCCGAGATTCTGCGAGGCAGTCCCCGAAGGACTGGGTTGACTCGTTTTGGAACCGCAGGGTAAGAAGATTCAACAGGAGACCGATGGTGCCCATCACATCACTGTCATTGCGGTTGGCGTCGGCAATTCCGATGGTCAGGTCTTTTGCCTCGGTGAAGCGGAAGAGCATCGCCCGGAAGACAGCTAGGTAGAAATGGAAGGTTGTAGATCGATGGGCCTTGGCGCGCTCCTTGACTTGGTTCACTAGGGTTTTTGACAGGCGGTACTGGACCTGGTTCACATTGAAGGCTTTCATGGGCGCACGTGTGTTCACCTTGGCCACAGGCAACAGCGGCAAGACCGGGTGGTGGCCGTCAGGGAACTGCTGGCGCCAGTAGGTGACCTCCTCATTCATCTTGCCCTGCTGGAATGCAGCCCGTTGGCTCCGAGAGAAATCCGGCAGCTGGCGAGGCGGCGGCCCGAGAGGCTGGCGTTGGTATGCCTTTTCCAGATCCGTCAAGAAGTTCTGAAGACTGACACCGTCCATGAGAATGTGATGGTAGTTGAAGAGAAGGTAGTTCTCCGTGGGTGACAGGGTTAAGAGGATGAGACGCAGTGTCTTCCCACTGGCGATGTCGAAGGGGATGGTCTTCATTGCAGCATACTCCGCGTGCAATTCTTCAAGCCGATCAATCTTCTTTCGCTCCAACCGGACCACCGATTGACGGAGGACCTTCTGATGCGCGAGATCGGCTTCCTTTTCATCGGCCACAAAGCACGTTCGGAGGGATTCGTGGCGGTTGGTGACGAGACGCACGGCACGTTCGAGGTCTCCTACGCGGAGGTTGCCGGTGATACGATAATAGAAACAGACGTTGAAGGTGGTCTGGTCTTCAATGAGCAGACGCAGGAACCAGAAGCGCGACTGGGCAAACGATACGAGCTCGCTCTTCACATACGCGGGAGAATCGGGTTGCTTTCCCTCCTGGAACTTGGCCGCTCTCTCCGCTGCCTCCGACAAGTTGACTTGCTTTGCCTCCTCTCCCACTGGGGGTGTGGACGGGGTCTCCAAGGGAGATCGGCTTCCTGATGAGGGCCCCGCGGACGAGGCACTAGAGTCTTCGCTCTTAGGTGCAGGAGGGGCGGCTGCTGGCTTCGACACTGTCGCAGGGGATGCAGCAACAGACCCCCCTAGGTTTGGCAGCAGAGTCTCCGGGAGCTTCTCCAAAGCCTGCTGACACAGGTCGGCCACTGAGCCCCCTCCCAGCACCTTAAGAACAGGCATATCAGTCTTGAGCTCCTTGAGGAACCAACCCCGAACCTCGACCGCAACCAAGGAGTCAATCCCCAGTTCCACCAGCGGAATGTTGTGGCCGACCTGATCATCGCTCAGTCGCGAGATCATCGCCAACTTGGCCGCGAAGCAGTCCTTGAGGACCTTGAACGCCTCATCCTTGCTCGTCGCCTGCGCTAACTGCTCCTGAACTGGCAGGGCGCTCTTCTTGCCCTCACTCGCAGAGCCTTGCTCACGGGCCTCGATCACCTTATGCGAAAACCGCGGGTCGTGGAACCAGGCCACGGGAACCTCCTCGTCGTCGCGTGCTGTCCGACATCCCGTGGTGACTACCGGCGCCAGAGCCGAGCTTGGCGCTCCAGCATGGATTGCTTCAGCTAGCAATTGATGAAGATCTGTCTCCGAGATCGCCATGAATCCGAAGCGAATCAGCTGCTCGCGCGCAATGTCGCCTGCCCGTTCCATATACCCAATCCCCGCCACCCGGCCAATCTCCAGCGATGATCCGGTTAGTCCCCGGCTCCGTCGCTCGCCAACAAGGCCCGTCATGTACGCGTTGGCGGCAGTGTAGTTGGTTTGGCCGCTGTTGCCGATCACCGAGGTGAGCGAGGAGAGCACCACGAAGAAATCCAGCGGCGTGGTCCCGAAGACTTCGTTCAGATTCTTGGTCCCGATGATCTTCGGCTGCGTGACACGCTCCATCACCTCGAGGGACATCTCCGAGAAGAGCATGTCGTTGAAGACTGCTGCACCGTTGATGACGCCTGCGATCGGGGAACAAGTGGTGCCGAGCTCGGAGACAAGCTTTTCTACCTGCTCCCTCTTCGTCACATCCCTGTACGCTGTTAGTCGTGCATGTTTCGAGGGTGAATTAGGGGAAGAGGGGAGTACTTACAGAACATCAAATCGAACCGTCGTGCCGAGCTTCTGCATGGCTGCCTGCCACTCCGGGTCCGCCTTCGCACTCCGGCTGGTCAAGCAGACCGTGCCAGCCCCATGGCGAGCCATCCACTCGCAGATCGACTGACCCAGCTGGCCGGCTAAGCCAACCAGAAGGTATGTTCGATCTCGCGAGAAGTAGCGGGTCGCGTCGAGAGGGCGCACCTCAGCTGGTACAGTGGCCTCGA